GCTCATTTATTTTTTGTTATTCGCAATAAAAATATGTATTTTATTTTCGACAATTAATTAAAATACTTAATATGTACAAAACAATGAAAATGCTGAAACCACAAAGCACATAATGACTCCTTGCCTATGCTAGTAAGTTAGTGCTTTGTTTGGCTATCCAAACAAAGCACTAACTTACTTTTATAACCATACAAGTTCATAGAATCTGAATAGATCTAGATTTACCTCACTTAGTTTTATTAACCTACTGAACAATTAATCCAGTGAAAGAAGACTTTTATTACCAAATAGTGACTTTTTGTATCAGTGACGATATAACGTTTTGTTTTTATATTCTTTTTAAATTTCTTAAGTGCCTTTCTCCGGAGTCTTACAGCGTTTTTACAATAATTATTAAACTAAGGAACACATGGCCTTTTGAAAACCTTGGTTTTAGGAAATGAGGCATCTGTTGCTGTTAGTACAGTCTCAGTTATAGATTTACAGTCATCACCTATTATTATTTGGGGAATTTTGATGTGCTCAGTTAAAGGAGTGAATCGGCTTTTTCTAATATCCAACGAGAAACGCTGTAATTATTGCAGTTTGCACTTCTGATTATGAGACGGATGGAGAAACGGTCACTGCTATAAGGTTCTAGTAGAACTGTCCAATCTACAATATCGATCAGTGAGTTGCTGCAAATAGAGAGATCTATGGACGAAAATGTAATAAAGCTAGAACTTCTATGTATATTGCTTTTCCGGAATTCAGTAACATAGTGCCTGTTAAATCTAACAAATTTTCTATGATTCGACCACTGTAATTCGTCTCGTGTGATCCTCATAATTGAAATGTGCAAAACCGGTTTTTTCAACTGTCTATGGATATAGGTAAAGTGTTCTGCCTCTACAGTATTGTCTTAAGGGAGATAAATGTTTCAAAGTGTGAAAGTGGTGTTTAAATGAACTGTAACAACTATTACTTGAAGTGGGGTGTCTATTTCTATTTCGTGGCAATAAAAAGTCTCTTTTACGGCTGTAACTACGCCGCCTCTGCATGCTCGCTCGTAATCTGGACCACAATCTGTAGATATCGAAGTCCTTAGTATGAATTGGTCTGAAGGCTTTGGATGCGTTTCTTGGAGGCTTATACAGAATAGGCCTTCATTAAAGGATTCAACTGGTTAAAATGAGTTGCAATTTCACTGAATAAGGATCATGATTTAGGCATGGTGTAGGATAAGAACATTTTTGACGTATTTAGAGATGATAATTGGAATTTAAATTAATACTAATAATAATTTAATGCCTCTAGGTAACAATTAATTCCTCAATAGAAGGCAAAGGATCACGTGGAAGACCAAAAAGCATATGGATAGATAGGATTAACAAAGATGCAATATAGCTTCGTGCAGATAAATGGAAAGAAATAACTCAAGACAGGCAGATGGACAAGGCGTGTTAAGGCGGCAAAAGATCTACATGGCCTATAATGCCAACAGAAAAAAAATATATATTCTATAGTTATCACACATATATATCAACGATTTATTCGTGCGGGAGGTTAAAAATGATAAATTTCTCATAATCAAATTTTTACACTCGAGTTTTACATTTTACCAATTTGGTCCCAATATCTGTCAGTCTGTATTCAAATCCTTTACTAGGCCTATCATCCACTACCGTTGACCCAGTTTTCATGAACTGTTTAGAAATTTTGAGGGTTGATACTCTGATGGTCCCATTTGAATTTCATCAATAGGCTTTTTTTTTATTTATTAATTTTTTTTATCTATTTATTTTTATTATATTTTCTCTTATTATTATTTATTTATTTTTTCACTTGATTTCATTTCATTTTAAATTCATTTGTTTATTAATCTCAATTCATTTATTGATTCTACTGCTATTTTTTAAAGTTTATTTATTTATAAATTTTTTATACATCTTATTACCTATAAATGTCTATTATTATCCTTATTTATTTATTTTATTCTATCAATCCATTTCTTTATTTATTTTATTTTTATTTATTTATTTTTATTTTTTATTTTTTAATTTATTTTTTTTGTACCAATCATCCAAATAGTATTAAGTGATGTTATTTAGTTGATCGGGCGCTTATGACCTGGATGTTTTGCGCCTAGACATCGAAACAAACAAACAAACAAACAATTTCATCAAATTCATTACATTGCTTACGCATCCGTGAATGTATTTTTTTAGATATGCCTCTATAGTTTTCATTTAAAATATAGATTTTTTAACTAAATAAACACAACAAGTAATCATAAATGATTAATTTAAAAGAATATTTTAAGCGATATGATCCATTAATTCTTCATGAAAAAACCATTACTAGCTGGAATTTCGAATTCATTGGAAGAAGCATTAATATCATACCTCATAAATTTTACATTTTTAGTTTAAAATGTTTATAACATTCTAAAGAGGAAGTGCCTACTTTATTATGAAGTTATTCCGCAGAAGTTATTTTTTGGTTGTAACAGAACTTTTGGGCATAGAAAGTCCTTCCTTAAAAGCTTCAAAGATTTTCTTTTTACATAAATATACATTACACTGAATCTCATTTCTATGTAGGAGGGGAGGCCGCATGTACTTTCCATCTCCCACTCCCCCTCCAAAGTGAAAAAAAAAAACAGCCTCGTGTCCGATTAGATTTACATAGCACTGAAAAATATGGACGAGTCTTTGAGGATAATACATATGTGAAAAATATCATGGTATTCTAAAAAAATCTTAATTATATCATTACTCATTGTTCTTAATTTTCGTATCGAGACATTTAATTTTAAGTAATGTCTTCCGAAGAAAGTGGTTATAAAAGACAAATACATTTATAAATATGGTCATAGTTCGGCTTGGAGGCAAGTTCAATGCTCATAAAAAGGTAGCTAACTTTTTCAACTCGTGAACCACATTAAAAAAACAAGGTTCAGGTCAATGTTGGACCAAGCTACCAGTCAGTTTCTAATAGTATTCCTGAGGGAATCGATATCTTGATTATACTAAAATTTGGTACAACATACAACATAATCTCTTGTAAATTTTTTAACAAAATTCTTAACAGTAAACTCAGTATTTCTGTTGAAAAAAAAAAAAAGTCGAACCTGATATAAAATATTTAAGTGATGAGCTACATGTAAATACATTATTATGAATAATATGCAATTTTACATAAAAGGTTAGCGGGTACCTGACTGTTTTTGGAATAAGAGGGTTTTGAATTTAGGTAGGGATGAAGAATGCCGAGTTTTGATAGGAAGAAAATTCCAAAAATTAACAGAGTGAGTAATAAAGAAGTTTTGGAGCGAGGCAGATCTGTGAGAAGGAATGTAAAGGTCGGAAGGTCGAGATCTTGTGGAAAGGGAGTGGATTGAGAACTTGAATTGGAGAAGGTTGTAGGCGTAAGAAGGACGATGATTGTTGAGGATATGATAGAGGAACGTACCTAGGAAATATTGTCTTCGAACGGAGAAAAGAGTGTAGTGTTTAACTCAGTGTAGTGGTGAGAGACATGGGAGTATCTCGGGGCACCAATTACAAATCTCACGCAACTGTTCATTAGTCTTTTCAGTCTATCACGGAGCTCCACCGAGAGTCAATCATAAACCACACAGCTATAGTCAAAGTGGGGGAAGATGAGAGAGGGAACCAGGAGTCTACGCGTATGTTGAGGTAGGAGATGGCGGAAGCGATGGAATAGTTTGAAAATCTAAATTGTCTGTCGGGAGATGTAAGAAATATGGTGATTCCAGGAGAGGGTTTGATCAATGAATAGTCCTAAATTTTTGACATTTGAAATTTAGTGTGTCATATAAAAAACATTATGTACCACATTGAAATTAGGGACTAAATGAATGAAAAACCCATGTCCAGAGAATCGAGCGTTTCATCCCACCGTGTGTGAATGTTGTATTGCGCAAGAAAGTAAATAGGTTGTCTTCATCTTATAGTAGACATGATAATAATAATAATTCTTTATTTATTCTGGGACGAGTCCCTTTAGAATAATACGGAGAGACAAAAATGTGGGCTAAGGAGCCTCAGAGATACATAAACAAGAGCATAGTTTGATTAAATAGTCAAAAAAAAATAAATAAAAAAATATTTAGAGAAATTATAAGTTACTTTCTAATTTACATCAGTTAATAATAAAAAATAAAAAATTGAAAATAAACATGAAGTAAAAATAATAAAGAAAGATCTAATAATTTATATACATATTTACAGTAGTAACTATTTACAATTTTATGAGGACTGGATGGATAAGAAATGATTAAACAGTTGGGATTTAAAAGTAGGAAGGGTTTTGGATTGACGGATGTGGGGAGGGATGGAGTTCCATAGAGAAGAGGATCGAATAATAAATGATTTATCGAAAGAAGCGGTTCGGTGGGCCATTATATATAGATCTGAGGACCGGGAACGGGTATTGCGGGAGTGGACAGAAGATTTAAATTGAAGGAGCTCAGCGATGTATGAAGAACGGCAGGAGTGAATTACTTGGAAGAAGAAGGATGCCAGGAAATACTTACGGCGGTTGGAAGGATAGAGCCACTTCAACTCTTCATAGAAACAGGAAACAGGGGAGTCTCTTGGGATCCCGAAGATGAATGTTACAAAGCAGTTTATCAAACGTTTTAGTTTCGTCTCGAGATCCCCAGAGACACCCCCATATACCGTGAAGCAATAGTCGAAATGGGGAAATATTAAAGACGTGACCAGGAGTCTACGGATTTCAAAAGGAAAAAGGTGTCGCAGGCTATTTAAGTGTTTTAGGGTGGAAAAGGTACGTCGGGAGATATTGGACACATGGTTTTTCCAGGAAAGGGTTTGATATGAATAAGATTATTCAGAGGTTTTTGATGGTGGGATAAAATAAGTAGTATGTCTATTCAACTACATATAATTTAGCGAACCAAATCTCTTAATGTTTAAATGTCTTTAAATATCGCGGTGTTAATTTCAATGACAGAATGTATTAAATTTACTCAAACATTTGTATTATTATTGTTATATTATTGAGGATAATACGTTACGTGTTGCAGGTGGGTAGAGAGATATGTGATGTGGAGGTTGGTGGTGGCGGTGGCGGTGGTGGCGGCGGACGAGGACTGCAGGCCCAGGCAGAGCGGGCTGCGGGTGGAGGAGGCCCAGCTGCCGGCGGCCGTCCTCAGGTCGGCGCTGTCCGGGGGCGGCCCGGACCCGGGGGCGGTCTTGGCCGCCGACCCCGAGCCGGTGGTGGCCGCCGCCCTCGGCCCCTCCGGCCTCAGGCTCGCCTACCGCCCCCCGGCCCCGGCCCGCCTCAACGCCACCGCCCCCGCCTACCTGGCCAGCCTCAGCCGCAACCACACCTGGACGCCGCCCTTCTGGGACTGCCTCCTCCAGATATGGGTCTTCGGCTATATATCGAACCTCACCAGCGCCAGGTAACCCATTATTGTAATAATTATAATTATAATAATTTCTGTCGAAACAAATGTCACCTATGGAGGAATGGGATTCCTACAAATTTATTTAGTTAAATTACATTTGCTATGTATTGAAGTTTCTTAAATTATTATGAGGTAGAAAACAAAGTTGAATAAAACCGACTTCTGACATCCAAAATAGCATGAATGGAGAGTGAGCAGTTAGATAAGGACCGACCTGTACGTGGACCCTGGGGAGGGCCTGTACTCGTAACTAGTAGCGGGTTAAATAACTGGTTCCTTTTAGGGTGTTACCAGTTATTGTGAAGCAGTAAGGTGAAGTTAAGAATCAATGGAAACCATCCTCGCCCCACCATGAATTTTTGTATAAAATCTCCCGAAAAGTAAGAGACGAGGTCTTATGTTGGTTTCTGGCCTAGAGGATAGGTCTCATGTCTTCTTTCCGAGCTTGGGAACGGAAGTGACAGCTACCTACCTACACAGATGGGCGTTTAGAAGTTTTTGGACCTGGGCTTGACCAGATCACCTCGGATCAGCAGATTACTACCAACTACACCATTTCTTATACAATTTTTTTTTTTTAAATATTACAATCTGTCTCTAGAACCTTTAAAAAAGAGTTCACAGATCACATTCACACTCTATGTACAATAAATAAAATAAATTATACAGAAAAATAATATATATACAATAAATAAGAATAAAATAACCTAAAAATAAATAAATAAACAGAACACATACACACCTATATACAATATTTACAATTTGGCGAGAGAACTTCAAACCAGACTTGTCCCTCCAACTGTGGAAGGAAAATTATGACTCCAGGAGTTTCCTGCACTCCTCTCTCAACCCCGTCACTAGGGCTAAGCCCAGAGGAGATTGAGCAAGAGTGCTCATATACAATAAATAAGTTTTATTCCCAACATTAAATTTACCAATGTTAGAATATTTCATGGCAATACAATTCTCAAAACAGTCCATCTAAGATCATACCTTCATAGTTAATTATTAAATTCATTGAATCACGTATTCAGTTTCTTTCAAATATAATTTGTATATATTCTTTATTTAACATAGAAATAAATTATGTCTTTTAGTAAAAGTTATTTTAATTCTGCTACCCATTTATGTCATCATGATCACAGGTAATGTTGTAATTAGAAGCATGATGAACACAAACCAGCCTTTCAGAAAAGAAATCCAATTAATTAATTCTGGACCAATCAATATATTAGAGATCCAAATTTATGTTTAACTAGTCTTTTATTATTAATTTTTATTTAATATTTCTGGGTAATTATCATTAATAATTATCCAGTGGCATCCCGAATAAATTTCAACACCGTAAAACGTAGAAATTTTTAATATCATCCCTTTTGTGGGGATAAAACATAGCACATTTTACAATGTATTAGTTGAAAGACTAAGTGCAATAGAACACCAGGATAAAGGATTTTTTTTATTAAGAGATAATACATTTTACTACAATTAAGGACCGCTGGATACTAGAGCAATATGTAGGATATTCATATTATTCATGCAATAAGACAATAACAATAACCTAAATAAAAAAACTTCTATGGAGCTACTTCAGTTACAACGTTCGAGGAGGATTGTAGAGACGGCTGGAGCTGGATAGGGATTGTGCTAAGAGATTAGGATGGTAGATGAATTGGGATCGGATAGATAGTTGATTCTGATGAAAATTTGAGGATCTGGATAGGATACGGTCAAGAACATAGGTGATGATGAGGTCATGACGTAAAGTTTTGTATCTTAATATACAGCATTGAATATTGTGCTAAGGACTTTAGACTTTAAAAAATTGGATACGTTCGAAGATGTTCGAAAATGTGTCCCCCTCAGTCGGTAGGTCCAGGTATGTTTCAGTATTGTTTTATATATAATGATAATATAATAATTTGTTTTTCAATTCAACGTTTAGAGTTTCTATTAAGTAGCATGTATAACTCGATTATATATAACTAATTAAACTATCGGTTATGTTCATGTCTTTTAAGTATGACATTTAGGTTCTATGTTAGTGTTTTAAAACTCCGGCCAGCTTCCTTGCATGTATTGGTCTTTTCACTAGGAATAATAAAGTTTCTTGTAACCATATGCTCTGTGACTCAGGAAATATTGGGGAAGGAGGGAGCGAAGGTTAGTAATATAATATATGATAACAGTGTTGAGGGCATAGAAAGTGATATACGTTAGTAGATAGAACCCTATACATATAGAAGAAGCTCAGTGATCAATTTACTACCCAATCAATTTACTTAATATAAAGTAATATATTAGTCGATAGTATTGCAATAATCTCGTCTACTATAAAATGATAAATCAAGTGTAAATAATAGTGAAAAATTATTTAACATTCAATATAGAGTTTGAAAGGTTTCCAAATGGTCTACAAAACTAAAAAAAAATATCATCCAAATCGGAAAGATTCTATTGTATTTGGTACATATCTTGTGATTTAGGTATTATTTAGAATGGGCCGTTGGAATCGATCAAGGGTAAAGAAATTAACTTTTTCCTCTTATTATGGACCAAATTTTAACTTTGTATGAAATAGCCGGGACGGAAACCAGGTTGGAGAGGATCAAATTGGTTGGATTTTTCAAGGAACTTGGAGACTTGGGATTGCACTAGTCTTTCAAAGGGCTTTGAGAGGTTAGAAATAATTAAGATTGGACGGAAATCTTCGAAAGATGATGGATTAAGCTTTTTATTTAAAGATAGAACAATGGCATTTTTCCAAGAGGTAGGGAATACTGAATTCAGAAGGGAGAAATTGTAGATAAAAAGGAGAACTGGGAGAATTTCACTGAGAAATAATTTTATTAATTTGACTGGGATGACGTCTGGTCCTAAAGAATTGGTGTGAGATGTCATTATAGCGGTTAAATGGTCTGTGGAGGGATGTCGGAAAAATAAAAGTTACTGTCGTTAAAGAATACCTCTGGAGAAAAGCAGGAAGAGGGGGAAAGAGAAGAGGTATTAGCGATATTTATAAAATGGGACTCTAAATCATCGGAGGATACAGGAAAGGCTGCAATAGAGGATCTGGAAGGATAACAATTGGAAAGTTTACGAAGCAGTAGCCATTTCGATTTGATATCAGGAGCTGAGGAAAGGGTTTCATAGAAGTAGGTAGCTTTCGCATGCCGGATCCTTGCCGGTGCCAAGTTACAAAGCATCCTTGAACGCTTGGTAGTCATCTGCAAGCCTAGTAAGTCTAAAACGTCTTCGGGCAGCGTCGCGCCTCTTCTGCAGATCTTTGATTTCCAGACACATCCAAGGAGCAGGCCGGTGACGAAAGGTAGTGGTTTCGAGAAAGCATGGGTATTGAGGATATTGAGAAGATTGGTGGTAAGAATTTCAACCATGTAGTCAATAGAAGAGCAAGAATATATTCCATTCCAATGTAGGATTTCTAGGTCAGGTATTTTTTCTCGAGTAAGAGTATCTAAATAATAGCTGAAGATGATAGATTGAGGCTGGATTGAAGGAGTTCGGATATTATATGTTATTTGTATCAAGTCGTAAAATGATAGAAAGGATACTGGGAATTGAGAAGAGGAGAGGACGTTTTGGGCAGTGTCTATAATGTAAAAGTCTAGCTAATTGTCGGACCTGCTGGTATGGTGGGTGGGAAATTGGCATTGAGGTCACCGGAGATGATTATTCTGGGATATAGAGGAACGAAATTGAATAGAGTTGATTCAACGGACTGATCAAATGGAACAAGGGAAGGACGATATACCACAATGTAGAGGAGAGTTCATTAACTATGTACCACAATGTAAATTTACTGGGGGACGGGGTGGCCGAATGGGCTAAAGCGTGTGGACAGCACCGCGAGTTGCTCGGCAACCAGATATATGAAGTTTTGAGAGACAAAAATATGTACGAGTTCGCGTCCCGGTGCCGGAGGGAATTTTAAATTCCCCGCCCTCACCCTCCGGCCCGGGGAAATAGGAAAAAAAATGTAAATTTACTATACGGGTTATTTACACAGGTCTACTAGTAATCCAGTGCCAGCTGCATTATATGATTTTAATATTCCGACGACTATTTTAACTTCTTCTTTACTTAGTTCTTCTATTAAAAGTTCAACACTTGGGTACTCAGAATTGACGAAACCCTGAAGAGTTAATTTATTTTTTTCCTGCACTCAAGAATGATTCGTTGACCTAACTAAGGCCTTCGAGAGAATCAGGAATCGAGACATTGACGAAGCGTTACTTGAGAAGGTGGTGGACTTGGGATTGAGGCCTTTATAAAAACAATGGAAATGTGGTCTGGAGCAACATGGCATTCAATGAGTTCCGAACTACTGAAGGAATCAGGTAAGGATTTAATCTGAGTCCGCTCCTTTTTATGCAGGTATTGTAAATGATCATGAGAAAAGCCCAAAAGGAAATGAGACCATTGAATGTTGGCTATAAATGTTTGATTCCTACACAGTTTAATGATGATCTGGTTGTGTTGGCAACAATGGAAAGAACCATCAATCCTGAGGGTTCAACTAGAAGTAATTAATGTTCAGATAAACATGTAAAATACCCTAATTATGCGTCTCGGAAGAAGAACCAACCAGGAGGACCGTGTAATTAGACTGGATGGAACTTGGATAGAACCGGTCAGAGGTTTCAAATATCTAGAAGCCCACTTGAATAAGAATGACTTGATGGATGAGATGGAAACGAGAGAATTAAGGTTGCTTGAAAGTGCTTTACTGCGGTTAGAAAAGATTTTTTGGAGGGAGGAAGAAAAAGGTATCCAAAACCACAAAAATGACAATCTTCAAAAATACCTTTTTACACACCCTAACATACCTAAGTGAGTCTTGGACCTTAATGTCATTTATACATGAGTATGAGGTAAACATAAGAGCCAACTCCAAGCAATGGAGATGTTTTATCTTCGTAGAGTCAATGGTAAAACAAGGAAAGACCGAGTGAAGAATATCACCATCTGATCCA